CCTCATTTCGTATTATGAATAGCGACCCTCTTCTCCTATTATGAATACCGAACCTCATTTCGTATTATGAATAGCGACCCTCTTCTCCTATTATGAATAACGACCCTCTTCTCCTATTATGAATAGCGACCCTCTTCTCCTATTATGAATACCGAACCTCATTTCGTATTATGAATAGCGACCCTCTGCTCCTATTATGAAAAGCGAACCTCATTTCGTATTATGAATAGCGACCCTCTTCTCCTATTATGAATAGTGAACCTCGTTTCATATTATGAATAGCGACCCTCTTCTCCTATTATGAATAACGATCCTCTTCTCCTATTATGAATAGCGACCCTCTTCTCCTATTATGAATACCGAACCTCATTTCGTATTATGAATAGCGACCCTCTTCTCCTATTATGAATAGCGAACCTCATTTCGTATTATGAATAGCGACCCTCTTCTCCTATTATGAATACCGAACCTCATTTCGTATTATGAATAGCGACCCTCTTTCGTATTATGAATAGCGAACCTCATTTTGTATTATGAATAGCGACCCTCTTCTCCTATTATGAATAACGACCCTCTTCTCCTATTATGAATAGCGACCCTCTTCTCCTATTATGAATAACGACCCTCTTCTCCTATTATGAATAGCGACCCTCTTTCGTATTATGAATAGCGAACCTCATTTTGTATTATGAATAGCGACCCTCTTCTTCTGTTATGAATAGCGAACTTCGTTTCGTATTATGAATAGCGACCCTCTTCTCCTATTATGAATACCGAACCTCATTTCGTATTATGAATAGCGACCCTCTTCTCCTATTATGAATACCGAACCTCATTTCGTATTATGAATAGCTACCCTCTTCTCCTATTATGAATAGCGAACCTCATTTCGTATTATGAATAGCGACCCTCTTCTCCTGTTATGAATAGCGAACCTCATTTCGTATTATGAATAGCGACCCTCTTCTCCTATTATGAATAGCGAACCTCATTTCGTATTATGAATAGCGACCCTCTTCTCCTATTTTGAATAACGATCCTCTTCTCCTATAATGAATAGCGACCCTCTTCTCCTATTATGAATACCGAACCTCATTTCGTATTATGAATAGCGACCCTCTTCTCCTATTATGAATAGCGACCCTCTTCTCCTATTATGAATAGCGACCCTCTTCTCCTATTATGAATAGCGAACCTCATTTCGTATTATGAATGGCGACCATCTCCTCCTAGTATGAATAGCGACCCTTTTCTCCTATTATGAATAGCGACCCCGATTTTGCATTATGAATAGCGACCCTCTTCTCCTATTACGAATACCGACCCTCTTCTCTGATTATGAATAGCGGTCCTTATGAATAGCGGTTCTTATGAATAACGGACCTTATGAAAAACGGACCTTATGAATAGCGGACCTTAAGATTAGCGACATTGACCCGCGCCAATTTTCGCTCCACTTGCTATGCTCGCATTGCTCTACCTAATAAAATGCTTTAGCCTCCCCCTCTGTGAAAAACGTTCCGCGAGGCCTGCATGTACAATGTTAGAGTAGGGACGCGGATTTTGTTCTCCCCCCAACGTTTTTATTCAATATACGCCACTGCTCCCCCGTCCCTCGCATTTCGTCCCCCCCCCCCCCCCTCTCCGGTCATGAAAAGAAATCGCCACCCCTGCATGCAGGCGTAAAATGGTAAAATTTGACTGAACGCCAAAAAGTACAACCAACAACATAGGCTGTTATCTTTAATAATTAGGCAAAGAAGCGAGAAAAAAAAGAAAACTAATGTCTTGTCTACTACGCCAATACAAATTCTGTAAAGCATTTGCAAAATTTGTGCGACAAGGGAGTATGTGCATCTCGTATTGCTTCAATGCAATTCAAACTTCTGAACTGTGATGAGAGTAAACACCGATATAAGGTTAAGCCTACATGATTATTGAACTTGATGATCTTCTTTTGAAATCTTTATTTCGTTGACATAATTATAGCGCTAGGGATAGGGTTGGTATTGGGAAATTAAATCGTGCATTTCCTATGTTGAAGAGTAATTTAGGATGGCACTTTGTTCATGTTTAAAGTAAATAAAACAATAGAAGTGAACATGTAATTTATATTTCTGTCAACCTCACATTAGAGTTTTGAAGTTGATTGTTATGTTTTTGCCCTTTCGGAGAGCATTTACTATTTAACTCTTCGCACTGCCTTAATCTGAACGATGTAGGTTGTAACGTGTGCATGCTCCCACCCGCCTCCCCTTCCCTCCAGGCTCCTTTTTTCTCCCCTCTTTAGTTCTCTCTTCCGTACTCTCTCTCTCCCCCTCTTTAGATCTCTCTACATCTCTCTCTCTCTCTCTTTCTCTCTTTCTCTCTATTTCTATCTCCATTCTCCCTCCTTCTTTTTTAATACTTTTCTCTTCAATACACACAAACATCTCTCGCAAATTCTCCTCTCTGTTACATGTAGTGTCATTTATGGGTAAATCCCCCTCCCCCTTCAAACCTGCATAATCTGCCACTAACCAATGTTCAAGTCGAGGGTGAAAGCTATGTCCCATCCCTACGGTGTTAAATACATGCCTGTACCCGTTGATGACAATGGGTTACATTTTGACTGTATAATAATTATACACTCCCCGCACCTTGATTAACTTTCGAAAACACTTTACACATGAGAGAGATATCAATGCCAGACGTGTATTCCAATGATTTATTAAGCAGTTCGTTTGTGCAAACTCTATGGTTCTCTTTCAGGCAAATTGCATTAAGCTGATGAACGGTCTGGTAGAGAAAATAAGTGACAAATTGAGGAAGACAAGAAATAGTATTAGTAGCTTACACATTCAAAATGAAATCGAAAGTCATGTCACTTTATTTCTTACATAATTTTCAGACTATCATCTACATTAATTTCCCCCGCCATTGTAATGACAATTGCATATGACTTAAAATATCAAATATAATTTCTATGATCAACTAACATTTGCCAAGTGCTATACAGCAACACATACATTTGCAATTCGAGGATACACAGAAATCAAGAGTTGCTTGATTTAGTATGCCCACTAAGCCAATATGATATTTTGCACGCAAACACGCCTGCATACTGTACACGCGAATAATGTTTAATTACGTTCCATGCCAAGATCATTTCTGTATATACAGAGTACTAACGATTGATGTAACAATCGCAAAGTAATAAATGTTCATCTATTCAGTATTTGTATTAACATATCAAGAAGCGGCGGAAGTTCATTTCATAGTTAATATTTGCATTCCATGTGTATGGCCACATTTATGTACAGCCAAATAATTTTTTGCTAATATTATAGTAATAAACCAACTGGTTATAATATTCTACCGTATTGGCCTACATCTACCATTTCTGCATCTGAGTCTTTTCATGCGATCTCTGTATTTTTCCGTTTAACCTTAATATTTTAGGAACTACACAATATATCAGTTAAAATATGTTTAAGGTCGCAATATCAATAACGGTACTATGGAAAACGACATAAATTTAGATATAAGACATATTGAAAGATACTATGGATAAAATCAGAATTATAATTGCAAACATTACAACGAACAATTTTAGCTTCAAAACCAAATGTATCATAGGAAAACATGTAGCAAATAGTATACAGCAATGCAATGTCATAATGGAAGGATGCATGGTATCCTTCCACCACGGTATGAAAGGTTTTAGAAGAGATGTTCTTTAACAAAAATTCATGATATAATAACTTGTTTTTCTATCTCCTTTAGTTTCATTTTTCGTTTTTAGTTGTACATGCATTCAGAACATCAAAACAGTTACATGTACGTACATTTACATTACACAAAAACTATGTTATGCTTACCAAACAATAAATTGTGTATATGGCCACGAAAATATGTAGAGCTAATCGGTAATATTTCTAACAGACAGCAGGAAAATGACAAGTATCCAAGGCATATCAAAGATCAAGATTAGATCAGACCGATTACAAGTACAGAAACCGGTTAGATATGCATAGACAAGTTTGGACAAATTGGAAATGGCCCAAATGACAACAAATCAGCCTTAATATCCCCATACGTTCAGTACGTCAAGATATACATACACGTGGACAAATATATCAAAACAGAGACAAACAAAAATCTAAAGAAACTGTGAGATATACTTATGTACAGAGTGTTGTATATTATAAAATCAATGCTTATTTTAGTTATTCATCATTTTCTTATTCATTATTTTCATGTGAATTATTTATTAATTGATTTATTATTCTGTCATATCTTCGTTTATTAACTTATCCATTTCAAAATGGCGGTATATACAAATATAACAACGAGCGTTTTTCATTGAAATAATTTGATTCTTCTGCTTTGAATTAAACTTATTTTAAAAAGTACAGTGAAATTAAAAAATATATATTAGAAGATTGATGAAGCCTCATATTCTTTTGAAAGATTAAAGTATAACACTATAATTTGCTCCGGTTATGATCAGTGACCCTTGTAATAGTTACTATAATTGATTGAATTTCTATATCCAGATTTCTTGTCAAAAACAAAATTCAAATCAAAATCAACAATCATCACGCTCTGCATGCCATTCTTGTAATATTTATAAAACAAATCACATTGTTGAAATGATATATGGAGTGTTTTGATACAATGTGGTTGGGTTAATGATTATGAAGGTTATGTCTCTTACTCTTTTCAACCATCCAGGCATTAGATAATATATATTTAAAAAGTCAACTAGATTATTTTGTTTGTTGCTAATGACGTCTTAGGTCTACAGACGCTTCATCAGGTCGACCATGCCGACGTTCCTCGACTACGTCACCGTGTTCATGGGTCAACAATCATTTGGCGCTAAAGACCAGTCACCCTGATCAAAGGTATCGGAGTGGACCTGAAACGTCGCAAGCTAAACTAATGTAAGTATTATACATTGTTTTCTATTTAGAGGAAGCAAGTAACTTGACTTGATGAAGATTCTCTGGGGATTCTTAAAAACTGAGTGCTTTCTGGGAAACATCCATTATTATCTTTACGAGGAAAAGAAGCAATATTTTCTCCGGGGATGTATCAATAAGAACGAGTTGAGAAATCAGATCTTCTTCGTTACTTATGATTCCACCTACACGGTTGTTATCCAAGGTGGTGGATTCCCCGTTGGGTTTCTCACCATAAGATACCAAAGGGGCTATCTCAGACATGTCTTCAGGTAGGACTTGCATTTTATGGCTGGGCGATTGTTCAGAAGGTTGAATGCTACTTACGTTGTTCATATCATGACCAGGATGAACTTTTTCAGAGGACACTTCTTCAGAAGTCACTTTTGATTCATCCAAGTCCTCTGTACTGCACTCCGGCGATTGGTCAAGATGTTGACTCCTACTACCATCTGTCACGTTCTCCTGTGCTTTGGCAGCCATGTTTCCTGTATGACTATCTCGAGGAGTGTGGTTATTGTTTGCTGTAGTTTCCTGAAGTACCTGGATGTCAGTGTGTCTTTTGGTCCGGTCCTGTTCTAGAGAGGTGTCATCTGTATTAGAGAGTTGCTGATCATTGTCGTCTTCGTTGGCACATTCCGAATCGATCTGTTCTTCTGCTACACCTGACCGGCAGCAAGATAGAATTTTTTTTCTTTTTTTTTTCATCTCAATCGACATCGAATCGGAATTATCATAATTGTGTAGAACTTATCGCATTGAATTTCAAATTTCTTGTATTTTTATATTAGTAGAAGAGAACTTAAAGTTACTAGTCAGCATCTGTTTGGATTTTTTTGTGTGCACTGCTATTTTTTTCTGCATTACGTCACCTTGGTATCTAAACACATGGGCCGTATTGTACACCAACTACAACAGTATGTTGCTGAAGTGTTGAATGGGGTCCTTATTATGAAACTACAATCGTTATTAATGAAAATAAACTTTACCTTCGCTGAGATACAGGTCTGCAAGGTTGACCAACTTGGCAGCATGCAGTGCCTTCGTAAGCTCAATCCGTTCATCTTCCCTGGACACACCTTCTCTCCATTGTTTCAGCATATGGCGAGTTCCATCACTGGTAACACGGTTGAACTTCACATTGGTCATGAGCGCTCTCTGTATATCACCATGTAGGATTCCCAGCTGACCAGCAAGGCTGTCGATCTTTGCTTCATCGTAAAGATCGTCAGCTATCTGCTGTAATATGCCTGCAAACTCATCATCTGGGGGCTCCTCTCTAAAGTGGTACATGGCAATAAAAAAGACAAACATGAGGGCAGTTAGAGAACGTAGTAATAAAAAGGAATTAAAAGTGTTACTTAGGTGAAGAAAAACAAACGAAATACGTTCTTCCGGTGATGAGATCATACTCAACATGCTCAAATTATTGACTATTTATTCATTAACGGATTTCACTTTCTACTCTAAATACCATAGACTGAAATGCAGCTAAATTTTCATTAAAAAGAGAAAGAGTGATAATCTTTTATTCACTTCTGCTTCTACATAATCACAGGTGGTCATGAAATTTCTAAATATGATTTTGTACACACAAAAGTACATTCCATAGTAGTTTCGATCATTGTCATGTAAAGAGTAAATATATTTAATCTCACCCTGCTTGTAATGTATCACTCCTTCCCAGTCCTCCGGTTGAATTATCCTCAGGTGATGATGTGCCTGTCATGAAGGAATGAAGTCAGTTTGAATGAGAAAGAAAATATAAGAGAATTTTTTTGAACGATCTTAATTGTTAACTGTATCTCTTTAAAAAAAAAGTTATAAAGTGTAAATAATCCACAAGCATTGCATAGCTTTATAGTGTCCTTGGATAATGTAATCAAATGGCGTTACTGTTGGCATAAGGATAACAAAAACAAACAAGAAACATATACATTGAGGTTAAGGACCATTATGGACTGTGATAAGCTCGATAATCTAAGTATTTTCAACGTAGCAAAAATGGGGTAGAGAGCTATACTAAACACTATTTAATCATGATAAGCTTCACTTAACCAATATTTCAAAAAGTGGCAAAAATGGAATATGAGTTATATAGTATTATGTATAATAAAACAAAAGGAGTTGAAAGGGAGAATGAAAATAAAGTCTTACCACCCTGAGCTTGTTTCCCAGAAGTCACCCAAGGAATGAAACTCCATTGTTGTGTCTCTGCTTTCTTCTTCTGTTCTGCTGATCGTATCTCACTTTCTAGTTGAATTTTGGTTCTCAACCTCCAGGTCTCACGCTCAAGTTGCTCCAAAAGCTGTTCTTTATAGTCATGCTTTTTCTTCCAGCTTAATTCTATTGACCGTTTGTCTTTCTCAGCACTTGCTCTGTCTTCCTCTCTTCCTTTCTTTAGCTCCTCAACTTGTTGTCTTAGAGTCCTCTCATTACGCTCTTTCTCCCCTACGGTTTCTGTCAAAGTGTTCACGCGTTGTTGCTTAGACTCGAGTGTCTTCGTCATGTCTGCTGCAAATGAGCGCTTGTCTTTCTCAGATCTTGCTCTGTCTTCCTCTCTTCCTTTCCTTAGCTCTTCAACTTGTTGCCTTAGAGTCGTCTCATTTCGTTCTTTCTCCCGTACGGTTAGTGTCAAAGTGTCTACATGCTGTTGTTTAGACTCGAGTTTTTTCGTCATTTCTGCTGCCAATGATCTCTTATCTTTTTCAGCTCTTGCTCTGTCTTCCTCTCGTACTTTCTTTAATTCCTGTTCTCGCTCTTTTACCTCTTTGAACATCTTCTGATTTGCTTCTTTCGCCTCTTTCTTGGTTTTCTCATAGAACAACCCACATCTTTGATTCGTGCATATCGTCTTCAGATCATTAGTTGCTAACGCTCTGTCACCTTCACGAAGGCATCCACGTAGAAGATCAAGCCACTGGAAGTCACCCTCATCTGAGCGCATGTGACCAGGGGGAGGTATTTCGTACATATCAGTGATCCCGAGCTGTTTCAATTCATTTCTTGCTTTGGGGATGTCTCCGGAACAAAATAGAGCACATAGATGGACACGGCCTATTCAATCAAAACATATTCAATGAGTTTACTCGAAATAACGACCAAAGTCATGATATTATTATGGAATCTAAATACCACACATACGTCACATTATATTTTTTGGGGGTGGGGGGAGGGGGGTGGGGGGAGGGGGGTTACACAAAGGAATGGAGAAAATATGACATGCTTCTTCAATTATGTGTGTTTTTATCAGTATTCTTAGTGGCATGGAGTTTCCTGCCACATTTAAGTTGTAAACAGAATGGGCCAAATCGAGTGATAAAAGTAGGTAGGAGAGAGAAAGAGAAGAGTGACAAAGGAATGAAACTGAAGAGGACCCGGTATAAGGAGTAAATGAAGTGAGTAATGAGATAGTAATACATTTACAACTATGATGCAAATGAAATGTAGTATTTATGGTAGGAAATTTAGTAGGTACAATCATGATAGAATAGACTGATGATATTTGTAATAATATTGTTTAACTACAACACCTTCGACGGAAAAAAGGATGAAACATGATTTGGAAATCTAAAGATCGGTAATTAGTGAAACTTGATAAATAAATAAATGAATGAAATCAAGACCACGTTGGCGTAAATATTCATAAATGAATGATATACGCCAATACAAACTAAAACAAACACAACAACGATATAATACCGGCATTTCATGTAAGCATTGCCATAATTATATTTAACTTTAATCACCCCCAACCCTCGGCTCAAAATTAGAAAGCTATATCCAATACAAGAAAAAATAGATATTAAGCACCAAATTACATGTAATATTTATATTTTATGCTTAATTTTTGTTTCATCCGAATATAATGTCATAATCGTTCCATATTGTTTATGTTCAAATTGTTGAGTGTTATATGTGGATTGTCAGATCATGGACTTATGTCTCACATGTAGATCCATGGTCAGATGATTAAAGTCAACAATAATTTTTGGGGAATGGTACATGGTAGTAGTGCACATCCTGCCTGTTTCAAATGAATTAACAGGACGGTCTCAAAACCTAAAATCTTGTAAAATCACCGTGATTATTTGGTTGGTTACTAACCGAGGACATGATATGATATGTGCATGCACATAAAATGTAATAGAAAAAAATGAAACTTGTTCAAGCATTTTAATGGATGGTATGATTATCAGATTAATGGAGAAATATTGTTATCACATACGCCTATTATACATAATAACACAGGCCCACACAAGAAGAGGTAATTATCAATATGCAATTTGAAAGGAAACGATACTTAATTTTAAAATTGAACGGAAGAAGGGCTTGTAAGGGTCCAAGATATGAACGTGATCGGAATTAATGGTGTGTAATTAATATGGATAATATAGAAAACATAGATAAATACTTGATTTTAAGGTAATGCAGCTTGTAGAAATTTGCATGAAATATAAATTTAATAATAGTTGTTCCTCGTTTCTTTCATGTCCTATTCATTACTGATGAAACATTATTGTGTAGCAGGTGTCATTATTGTTACATACCTACACATAAAAGCAGTGTAAATAACACAAAACACCATATACGTAAACAAAGTTTAATAACCTGCATATAAAAATGATTCATGCTTTATATTAATCTGGCTAGTAAAATTATTTAAGTATTCATCTCTTCACCTTTTCATTTTTTTAATTAATACGTTGTTGTATATCGATGCATTGTGTTGTATACGGTGTGTATGAACAGTGCAATGTTTTATTAATTCAATATCGTTAAAAGATAAACCTTCATATGTCTTCACTTTATTATCCTACCTACCATTCAGGATTAGTGGCAACTCACCTATAATCTCCTTTATTTTCATGATCCATTCTGAGTAAAATGCAATATTGTCCGGGCTGAAGATATAAATGAGAAAATGCACCGATCCAGAATCGTTATTATTCACGTGGTGATGATTCAAGTGTTAGTGATGATAAAATACATACACGTTGATTCTGCAACCCACCCCATACCGAAGGCCACCTCAGAGAAGATAAATTGTATATATTTGTTATACACTACAATTATAATAATCGTTGATAGTGTTCTAACACGCAAACCTTATGCATATGTCAATGAAATTGTTCTCGCTCAGTCGGTACGCTCCATCGAATGTTAGAAGATGCGATGTTTCTCAGCACCGTAAATATTCTGTGTAGAATAGCCATCGGATGAGGAGGCAGGTGCTTCCATTTATCAATGGACGGGGAAATACTTCTTGCGCCTAAATTACAATAAACAATAATTTTTTCCAGTAACGTTTTCAGTTATAAAAGGTCTGAAATGCAGTTTCACCCTTCTTTCAGTATTGTAATTAAATGGATGCTACGATCCTTTGCATTATACACGCAAAACAACAACAACAACATTAACAAAAGGCATGTGTTGCATATAACCTGTCTTCCAGATGCGTTGCATGCGAGGGCCATTGTGTTGCCCTCCATTAACATGATTAAGGGGACGGCTTCCCCCTTGCAGTATAATGCTTTAACATACACTCATCTGACGTTTTTTGTTTGTTTGTTTGTTTCAGGTATTAATAATCGATGTCGACCCCCTCAATGAGCACCTTCTCAAGACAGAAATAAATGTTGTTACATGACGTGAAATTACGTTGATTTGTAAAACAAAAATGCGCTATATTTGGGTCTCAGCTATAATGTAAAATATTAACATTCTAAATATTCGGTCACTACACTCCCTCGCAAACCAAGTGATGCAGTACTAGTACATTAAAAACCCTCTCTCAAAAGGCCCCCAAAGTCGAGATTCGGGGCAAGTGCTAATCTTTACAAAAGGAGGAAGGAATTTGTTTTTTTCTCGTACCCTCCGCTAGACAAGATGACAACATTACACTCATCATTTTGCACCCCTAACAAAACAACAACAAACAAGTTGGAAATACAAAGTCTCGTGATTCAAAAACAAATTTTGTTTCTAACTTGGGCACTGGGTTATCGAGCATATTTATAGAAAGAAATATTTCCCAAAACTGCACACTTTATGCTAAGGCCCTGGAAGTGTGCAGGTAGGGGCTTTCCGTATAAAGGGGGAGAGGTAAACTCGTTTTTGTCGCCCGGCACGCGTAACAACATTATTATACAGTACATTTAATTCATCTAAAATAAATTGCAGATAATCTTTAAGCGCTTTATGCTAAATCCATTTCTTTTTCCTCGCACCTATGTAAATCGCATTTTATTTAATGAAATATTCTTATCCGTGTTTCACTGTAATGAAGGGGGTAGGGCACGATACATTTCGCCAACCCTCTCACAACAAACAAAGCTTTATTTATATAAAAGCTCTATCTGCTGAGGATGGCATATTCTCAAATCTCATTATCATAATTTTTAAGTAGGCTGTAATTTGTCGGTGTGTGTCAATGTAGTCTTGATTAAAATAATTGCAGTACCGTAGAAGCGTGCGAGTTTTTTTTTTGACTCGGTCGCTACGCTTACTCTCCTCGTAATATACTTACTTTAAAGTGATAAGATCCTAAGAACTATAGAGAACGTGTTTTATTAGGAATGCTCTGTCTTATGTAATAAAATGGAGATTGTGAATATTCTCTTCTGTGCTTGTGCGTTTAAAAATTGCTCAAGGGCTCCGTTGGAAAGCAGTTTCTTTTAACTGAATCGGACTACCCTCCACTGTTTTATCAATTGTAATAAATAATAAATAAATGAAAGGGTTCGAGATCAAGACGACAAAATAGTGCATCCGGAGTCAGTGAAGTAGAGTCTGTACTTTATTGTTTCTCGTCGTTAAAAACAGCCTCTGTAACAATAATAACAAAAGTTGAACAATATATTTAAATCGTGGTGAACTCACATACTGTAAATGGAACATTTATATTGATACCAACAGAACAAATATTTATTCATTGACATTGTTTTTGTAATATCATGCAACTAAATATCAATCAATCCATTTATTATTATACAAAATACATTACACCGATTGTTTTCTTCTTCTGTCCAATATCATGAACTATATGGTACAATATTATAGTATTGATTCATTCACATATATAATCATACAGCAACATAACATAGTAAATTCAACTCACCGGCCAATACTAGCTAAAACGCTAAGCAATAGCGACCGTATGCATGCTACCAAGTATCATATCCACAGCTCGTAGAAATACAGCAGACCTAGAAATAAGATCAAATGGCATATCTTACTAACAAATAATGACGTACATAAAGGGAAGCTTATACTCATCAAAGTTGTAAGGATAAATTGTTCAATTTAACACAATATACATGTACTGCAATTCCTTCATATCATGTAACAAAATAAATGACAAGAGTATTTCAATGGAGCATCATTGTTCCCATGCAAATACAGTGCAAGACATGTTTCAATTATACTGATCTTACTTTCACCATCAAAACTCTCATTAGTAATGCTTATAGGTACATGTACATGTATATATCATCATTCCAATAAGTTAAATGAAATACAATCATAATTATTAAACAATCCAACTTACTTTAAACAAAGTCTGATCACATTTCCTCCTACAGCAGGCCAAATGTACATGTGCTTGCAGTCCTATAACATAGCTTAGAATGGCTGCCTGCCTGCTATAGCAAGCACCAATGCTATCAATCACACAAAAGAAATGCACTCATGCAAAGAGTTCAATAGAATCCTTATAGGGGGTACTTCAATTGAGTGATAGAGATACCCCAAAAAGGCGGGAAACAATACAATGGGAATCCCTCTAGAGGGGAAACAATACAATGGGAATCCCTCTAGAGGGGAAACAATTTGTCATTGACTGAAGAAGCAGAGGGGGGGGGGGGGCATCTTTGCACCACATAATTTCTATTTAATTTACAACATAAATTCCAATTTACAACAACTTCCCCACGATTAATGTCATAATGTTTGACTGCAATTGGTAAATATATG